CATGCCAAATTACAACCCGATCGGTTTAAAACTGACAAAGTCTCATACAAACTTTCATCCCCTTTTTTACCCCCTTGGGGGTGGAAATTATCAAAATCCTTTCTTAGCGAATGTCTACGTCATAACATCTATCTGTATGCCAAATTTTAGCCCAATCTGTCCAGCGGTTTGGGCTGTGCGTTGATAGATCACTATGTCAGTCAGTCAATCAGTCAGTCAGTCAATCACCTTTGAATTTTATATATATAGATTTAAGACACAATAGAAAACGCATTAAGTCTCGCGTAGATCTACGCTCCGACATACCTAAAACACCACCTTCATTAAAAACCTCCTCTTTTTTGCGAAACGGGTTAAAAATGCTCAAGTTTTCTTTTAAAATTCCAGTTTCCATCTAGTTATAGATGGATGCTGTCCATCTTCATGACATGCCATCTTTTACCGGTGTCTTACTTACGACACTGGCGGCTTCCCGTTACGATGCGGTTATTCTTAGCCGCGATCACACGGCGCTGGCGGAATCTACATACCGATGTCTATCCGTCCTACCTGGTTTATATTTATTCTGAACACCTATATCCTATATGAACTACGGAAGACAGTCGATTATGTGATTCATTCTTTATGTTACTTGGAACTCTTTGAAGAGATTGACGCATCGATGTGTTGATTATGATTTGTTCGTATACCTAATAGGGATGATGACAGGGTATGAAAATTAAAAATGTAATTAGTCCGTCAGTTAGGTCATGAAAAAATATTAGACACGTATTTTTTACTTTGTTGTATAATAAAATGATACTTAGATATAATGAATCAAAGTTTAGGAGTGGGGTTAAACGTCATTTCTACGTATAAAATGTACATAGAAGTGACGTCACGCGACATTTCAAATCAATATAAGTATCTTCGAAACTATTCGTTTCCGTAAAAAAAAAAATACCTGTCTAATGTTTTTAAATAACCTACCAGACGGACATTAAAATAAAAATGAGTAATCTACCCTATTGTATGATTGTCAGTGTTATAAGTATTCGTTGGTTTAGTGGTTGCAGGGGTGTGACTAGGAATGACTATGTTGCTAGAAATGAGTATAGAATATTAGTTACTTTTTGAGATGAACCGGCTAAAGGGAATAACAACGACTAAGAATATGTAGCTGATGATTTTTTTTATAGCACTTCAGTGGCAAAGAAGCACACGACCCTCGAGGCTAATGCCTCAAGCCGCATGTAATCAAGGTTTACCGGACCCTCGGCAGCCGGAGCGTGTGAAAAGGTACTTTTGACCATAGTTAATCACATCACTACTAATGCAACAATTGCGGTTATACGAACGAATTAGTCCATATTGTTTTTACCAACAGTTAAGAACTAATCAGTCCATATTACTTTACTAGCTATATAACATAACATCACGCCTTTTATCCCCGACGGGGTAGGCAGAGATGCACCTTATGCCACTGTACAATGTAACACCCACTTTTCACTATTTATGTTATGAGTCCCATGTAATAGGAGGTGAGCCTATTGCCATATACCGGGCACAATTCCAGACTCCGTGCACTTTACTACTCGTAAAGTATTACTTTACCAGCTACCTAACTGTTATATCCTTTCTTGAATGTTACGTAACAAGAATTTTATTATGTTCAGCTTGTTAAACTGTCAAAGACCAAGCGGTCACCGGTGACCGCAACCTATTGTTCTATAATTGTGTCTACAAAACCGGTACTCGACGAGTTAAGTAATTGCTAATTAGAATCGGCATGCGATAGTATGCTAGGAATTTTAACGGCGAACTTATTACATATTAATATGACTTCACGCCTGAGTAGGCCGGACAGGTAGAGGTGAACTTATGTAGACTGTCAGCATACCAAGCTACCCCTTTCTGTTGATACGATTTTCAACTTTATCTGTTTGAAAATAGAGTTAAAATTTTTTTGAAGTTTATTTTTACTTGATACAGTGTACTTACGTTTTAGCACTTACATTATCATCAATACTAATATGTATACTACTACAGTAGTAGCTATACTACACAATAAATAATTACCTAGCCTACTATGATGCACTATAATGTCTAGGTTTAACGCCCTATTGCATTACTACAGTATTCTTTTTTAATGGGGAAAATCATCGAATAACTTCTCCCGCCTGGGTGAGGCGGGAGATGTCAGACTCTTACTGACTAAAAACCACCCCGTTCCAATTCCTGAACCCGCTAGGTTCTTCGCGGCTCCGCATCGGCATCAGCCCTATTGGGCCCCATCCGTGGCGGTCTGATGGCTCTTTGAGGCACGCGCGGAATGCGACGCGCCGTACGCTCGGGTCTGGTTTTGGTACGGGGCGGCGAGCCACCCATGCTCGCCGTACGCAGGCCCGCGCATTACTATAGAATAACGCACTATTGCACTATTAACTATAGATGAAAAAATAATTCCTCAAATCAGAATTCTAGTTAGCTTCCACAAGACAAGTAAAAAGGCAATGACCTATGAAGATCATAAATAACTAAATAAATAAGGATAAAGTATTTCCGACCTGTACCTAAGGGTTTTGTAAAATAAACAATATTATTACATTTGAAATTCAAACAACGTATGCACCTAAATCATATACGAATTTAGCAGTCAATAAAAATTTTACAACTCAGAAAGTGCAAAGTAAATAAACAACAGTGCCATACAAAATAAATGTTATTATTTCATTTCATACATAAATATACAAAAAAACTACGTTTAGATAACAAATAATAAAGTCAATACATGTTTTTAAGTGGTTGGGATGTTGCCAGAATTCATATATTGGTAAAGGTGTGTGCGGTACAGGGATCAAAGTGGTATTTTTATTGTTTTAGGCATTTGCATTGGCGGATTTGTTTGTGCAATCTGGTGTATGTTGGCCTCAATATAAATACATTGCTATTTTGCGGATGTATTTTATGTCATGCAAATTCTTCTAATTTTAGAACTGTAGGTTGAGATTTCTTGTTGGAGCTTGGGAACGGTTAGATTTTCTGAAAACTTAATGCAAGATCCTTAGACTGTCAAACACCAAGCGGTCACCGGTGACCGCAACCTATTGTTCTATAATTGTGTCTATAATGACGGTACTCGACGAGTTAATTGTGTGACTTATACAAATAACAGTCTTTTGAAAATTGCATTAAATCTACCTTTCTTGAAAAACTAAATAACTATCTTTATCAAGAATATCAGTTCAAAAATCCAATAAGCTAAATAAATATGTCCTCATATTTATCACTAAGGATATGATTAGAATGAACTCATTAAAATAGCCCAATTAACATATGACCTTGTTAATTGATAGTGACCTACTGCTACCAGCAGTGTTACCAAAATATTAAATATTATACATAATATGGTACAAAATCCGTGTAGGACGACCTCTACCAACAGCCCCATTTATATTCGCTCTGTATAGTGTTCCATAGTCTCTGCCTATCCCCATGGGAGACAGGCGTGAGGTTATGTAATATGTACACAGTACAGTACAAAAGTCCTTATTCATCTGGAGATATACTACAAGCTAGAGATAAGTCAAGTTCTTTCCTATACAATGCATAAATACAACAAGAAATAGGTTTGAACCAGGTACAGTCTGGATTCAATATAAGTCCTAAGTCAATAGGTTGCTTATGGGCAGACATGCTCCATTATATGTTGCATCATCACTTATCATTAGGCAAGATAGTGGCTGAATGTCGAGGGAAAAAAAATTTAACCTATTATAAGTTATCCCCAATGTCTCTTATAAGTTACTTACACTTATTATATACACACTGTCTTGACTTATAAGAATAAATAATTTTGGTCTCATTAAAATATTCTGAAAAAAAGATCAAATAAGGTCAGAATGTAGCTCAAATATGGTGAATATTTCAGTATTCTAGTACTTATTAAAAAGTAGAGCATATAATGTTTGAAGTATTGCAATAATTTAAAACAGTTGTTAACAATTTAGAAGGTATTTACCAGCCTTGAAACTTTCAAATAATACAGATAAGTTGTTGCAAGACCATTATTCAAGTTGCTAAACTATTATTCAAGGCATATTTAATGATATTATATTTGAAACTTAAGGAAATAAGAAAATAATTGAATGTAAAGCAATGGTTTCATATTAATAAAATTGAAAGAGATTAGAGAGTAGTGAGAAGAAATTTATATAAATTAATTAACCACAAAATGCAGGTATTTTATCTTTAAAGCATTTTATTTATATACACATTTCATTTTCATTGCCTAGAATGGCTGTGAAATAAAATTTCCATATTTTTATTTTCCTTATTTAATATTTCTAATTATTTAAAAACATGTGATGATTTTAAACCATTCACACCGGAACAGGTCAAACGTGACATACTACAAAATTACAGATTATAAATATGACTTGTGACCTCCTTATTAGAGCAAGTAGGTTTATTTCATAAGATAAAACTCTATGGCACGTTTTACCACCAGTGAGTGAGAAGTGAGCCATATTAAGACACAATATTCTATTTTATAGCCCCCCCACATAGATCAGAATTGTTTGAAAAATTATGTGAGAAGGTTTTATGCAGCTTTGTTTATATGTCATTTTAATTGATAAGGCCTTACTTGTTAGCATTTTCCTCATAAACATTGAATAATTTATTAGTGCACTGTACAATAACTCAGAACTCACGAACTATAGGGCCTATCTACATCTGATTTTGTCCCATTGTTTTGTCTTTACATCACGAGTCATTGACCATAATCACAGCCAGTTGTGTCAGCGACTTCCCGTTACGATATAAATTATTACAGATGACTCACAAATTGTTACTATTGCTTATTATCGACTTATAAGAACACGACAAGCTGCTTACGTGACAAAATCAACAGAGCATAAGAGAAAGGTGCGGCGAAATATTGTTTATTTTGCTATTAAGTGCTTATTTCAGACAGACAGAGAAAAATAATTCAAAAATTATGGTAAAATTGTACTCACTTTGTGCGGAATCCGGCTGTGCCGTATTGTATGAAAACATCGGTCGTTTTCGGATGCATTTCTCTGGCGAACGCGTACACTACCCGTAAGCTACTTGGCGGCATTGTGATACGCGTAACTTTTTGCAATCTCTTGATTTTCGAAACCGATATGTCTTCATACCATTCCCGCTCCGAAAACTAGTTTCAATGAAATTGTGACGTGATGACGTCGCGATCTCACGTCAATCTTGATCGACTGAAGTATTATCCGACCGAGTGCAAGAGTAATGCATCAAATGGACTGTCGCTACGTGCGCAGCGTACTAAGTTCAAAATTTTATATACGTTCTAATAAAACACTATCACTTTTCAACTTCGTAGCTTAATAATGACAACTTTGACAACGAATGTCATTGCACTATGCAGCAAAAAATGTTTTAACATTTGAGTTCAAGTATTTTACGTTAGATGGCAGAGCATGGCTATAGGTTTTGTAATAGTTCTGCCACTCGGTAAGAGATGGAGCGCTTAAGAAATAAAATAAGTACCTATCTGATTAATTTAATTTTAAACATTATAGAACTAATTTGTTCATATAATAACAATTAAATTGTCAACTTTTTAATTTTTATCGAGCTGTTTTAGGTAATGAAATCATTAATGTCGACAGAATCTAATGATCCGTACTTAAGTACATTACAAAAGTATTGTCCTTTCCGGTTTTCCAAATACTTACCGCTTACTACTTTACGCGTAAATATTCAATACCATACCATATAATTTTACAATGGGTGTTACATTGTACAGTGGCATTAAGTGCCGTAATGTGCACCTCTGCCTACCCCTTCGGGGATAAAAAGGCGTGATGTTATGTTATGTTATAATTTTACAAGACAAATTCGACATTTATGCAACTAAATTGCCAACATAACTTGACTCCTAATAGTGGCGCCACTTGGAAACAGACCCAATACATTTGTGTTGTGTTTACTGTTTTATTCGGGGTCAGTTTATATTGGGCTATGCTGCTCACATTATTAGTTTCGCTTGACATCTTTAATGAAGTAGTAAAGGCGACGCAACTAATAGACGTTTGGCTGACAGCCAGTGGCGCTTGTTGTCAACTTTGATTACTGTCAATGCTTGAAGTTTCTAATCTGTCCATTCATAATAAAATTATTAATTGAGGCAAGAGTTAGGCTTAAACACAGATACACTATATTTGTTTGAATTCTCGTTACTTATGTCTAATATAAAAAAGTTTATTGTCATAAAAATAACACAAAAATTACATCTCATGAAAAACATTACAGCGCCATCTATGTACTGCTTTATTATTTTTTTTTAAGGAGGGATAATCATCGAATTCCTGCTCCCGCCTGGGTAAGGCGGGAGGGAGTGTCAGACTCTTACAGTGACTAAAAACCACCCCGTTCCTTCTCCTGCACGTCGAGCCGGAGCCCCGGTTACCCTTTAGGTTCTGCGCCACATCTATGTGCTGCTACTGTTTGATCAACAAATAAAAACCTTACAGTCGGCGTCCGTTTCATGATCTTCAAACCACCCTAATATTAAATACTTAATTAAGTAAAATACTAATGAAAAGAAGCATTCCCCACCTAATTTATATCTATTTATGAATGACAGTAACACATGCGTGTATTTAGAGCTAAATTAAAACAACAAACGAGAGACCATTATTGCTAGGGGCGCCATATTTTATTAACTTTGGAGTTGGGACGCATTTACCAACTACACAATGAAGTAGTACAGGAAAGATTTGAAATAAACTGAAAGAATGAAAAATTGTGGTTAGATTTTTTTTTTGGTCTAGCAGGTTAAACCGTAAAGTAGGGAAGGTAAATTGTAAAATGTAAATGGATTTAAAAAAAATCTATTTTTTTTAAAAGGTCTATAAAAGTTTCAGGGAACCAACTGATGGATGTTTTCAACTGATGGATTCAAGGCTGATCTAAAAATCATTAAAGTGGGAGGTATACATTTAACACTGGACGTCTTAACCAAATGTCCTTTCTTTCTAGAAGCCTGTCCTAAATAGAGTTGTCCTACAATACAGCTGTAGCGTTGTCACCGCAGTAATTACGGGCGTGGTCACGGTGCGCCCGCGCCGCGTCTCAGTAATTAATCGTGCAATTTTCAGTTAATGAGGTGCACGTTAAGAACAGTTACAATATTAGGAAGCGCTTCGTTTTACTGTTATTTACAGCTTTTTGATTAACTCGTGTTGAGATTTGAAGTAGCTTTTGGACAGGATTCATTTTTGTAGGAAAATACAATGAAATAAAATTTCCCGTTATTGAGATATTAAAAAAAAAATGTTGCCCCACACTAGGATTTTCTGCTGTGTTGTGGGTTGTGGGTGCGTTTACAAACATATAATAAAAATCTAATTAGTCCGTCAGCTAGGTATTGAAAAAATATTAGACACGTATTTTTTATTATGTCGTATAAGAAAACAATAGATAAAACGATCCAAAGTTTAAGATTGGGGGTAGTTACGTCGTTTTACAGTATAAATCGTAATCAAAAGTGACGTCATGCGATATTTCGAATCAATATATCTTCGAAAGTATTCGTTTCTGTAAGAAAATAAAAAATATGTGTCTTTTATTAATCTACCAGATGGTCATTTAAATAAAAATCATTTACCTTATTTTACATATCACATATCATGACACCCAGACCCGGAAAAACAATTTGTGGATCACACAAAGAGTTATTCCGTTCGGGAATCGGACCCGCTGTCCATTGTACGGCAGCCAGTTGCCCAGCCACTGCACCAACGGTAGTTGAACGGTAGTTGCACCAACGGAGTTGCAGTAGCGGATTAATCAAATGCGAGGCCTATAGCTAATTCTATGGACGGGCCGTTGATCTCATACATGATAGAAGTATGGATATGAACAGGAGTCCATACTCCTGTTCTACAGTCCTACCCATGTAATGTCATTCCTAGACTTTTTAGTTCTGACATCTTTGAGGTATACTATGTGTGGTTCAATAAAAATACTTTTAGGTGGCGATGAGTACCTGTAGCTACGCGATCGCAGAGCCCCCTTTTGCGCGGGGCCATGGCGCTGTTTTCTATATCGTTTTATCCGCCTGATCATCTACTGCTATAAACAATATTCTCTCTATTACCTCATCTTGTCTAACCTAACGATACTTATTTATCACGATCACCATGATCCCGTTACTCCCGTTTAAGTAAATCACGGAAGCAGTCTACACATTTGTCTGTCAATCGTCGCATGCGCAGGCGATCCGTCTAATTACTCTAATTACTAATTAAAAGCCCCAGCCTGCGTTTCAATTGAGCCCATCTGATATGTAAAGTGCTCTCGGTAAGTTAGTAGGATAGTAGAGAGTAATTGATGTCAGCTTCCTTATACTGGTACTTTCTTTAGACATATCTAGTTAACTCATTTGCCATTTTTAACTTTATCGTAAAGGTTATAAAGTTAAAAATCAACTGCAGATTGTATACCAGTGCGTCCTAAAATTGCTACCAACCACACCGAGAGATGTGCATCGAGTGCATATTATACTAAAAACATGGAGATTTTTCAAACCCCTTGTTAATGATAGCTACTACTGCTGATTGACTGCTGACACTGATAATTTAAAAATAGTTCTTGGGATAATTGAAACGGACCTAACAATCGCGTAGAAAATCTGTATAACAAAATAGGTACATGAAATAGTCTGAAATCGTTTATGATCTGCCTAAGCCTAAACCAGCTTTAAATACGTAATTAAGAAACCATCGCCGTTCCTTCTAATTACGTTATTATCATATAAAGTAGGTATCATAAAGTTACTCAGAAATTCTGAGCCAGAACAAGCTGTTTAGAAGCTAAGTTAATTTTTCTAATAACACACCATGGACCTACTTATGTAGATTAATCTAGAGTAATCTAGAATCATAGACTATGTAAGTACGTAGCTGCATAGCCACATTGTACAGGCACTTGCATTTATAAAAACTATATAAGTAGGCGAACATACAAAAATGAACTCATTGGAATATTGTGTTAAAGTATAATTTCTCTTGACCCTTAATATTTATAGGGAAACTAGATAAACATTAAAGATTTAATATTGGTGTAAGACATCCTCCAGCTGGATGGAATGATGATATCCGCAAGTTGGCTGGCAGTGGTTGAATGCAAAGAGCTGAAGATGCTGATGCTTTTTATATGGAAGTTGAGCCCAACTTTAAGAGCAGCGGGGTTATTATGACGTCCTAAAATCAGAATTGAACCATTCTGATTTTAGGAATAGGAAGGGGGAAAATCATCCAATGGTTTTCCCCTGCCCGGGTGAAGTGAGAGGCACTGACAAAAAACCACTTCGTTCCTACTCCTGCTCTTTGAGCCACTTGTTACCTAAGCGGCACTAGTTAACACGTTCGAGGACGCTACCACTTGAGTCGGGTTTCCAGAATGACACAGTAAATGTCTATACAAAATTATACGACGTATCAATACGTAGTGTCTCATGCAAAAATATTGTTTTAAACATATCATGACACAACCGTTTTATCACGTCAACGTGTATATGCATCTTGGTAATGATACGCCTCGTTGGAGGTGTCGGAATCATGAAACATGCTTATCATATGCCTTATTTGCGCTTATATCCGTCTAAAACATACAATAACCTATTAAACATCAATTTCACACTGTAAAATCATTAAATTGCATTAAACACATAATACACCGTGACACAGCCGCGTTGAATGTAGGAGCGCGGGACGTATAAATACGTTGTGCATATGTGAATACCGTAACCGCACTCTATCAACGGCACTTATTTGAAATAGTTCTAAACTTACCCTACGTGACAGTACAGTGTTGGGTATTTTATGTGTTGTGACACAAGATACATTCAAAAGGATTGTTACTTGAACTTTCATCGGAAATGAACGCTCTGCCGTATAATTTAAATGTTATTTGAACGTCATCGTACGTTGTGCCGAATTAACATCTCGAACGATGACGTATAATCTCGTTCTGTCCTCGAACGTGTTAAGTCTCCCGCGGCTCCGTATCGGCAATAGCCCAACAGGCCCCATCTGTGGTCTGATGGCTCTCTGACGCCTATGTCCATTGTCAAACAGTCTACAGAAACGGGCTAATGATGACGATGATTACAAAATCTATTAGCATACCTACCATATTTATTTCTGTAGCTATTACTAAGTACTAGTCTAATCTAGTACCCAAATAATAAAGATTTATTAACAAAGTAGCAATGGAAACAGCTGACTGT